TTGCAAATATAATCGCATCGTAATAGGAGTGAAAAAGAATTTCTGAAATTCAAATTGTGCAACCGGTAAGTAAAAATGGTATTCTATCTCTAGATTATAGTACTTATTAACGTTTTCTTTACGGCAATTCTCTTAGAAACTTCTCATAAAGTTCAAAGCTTTATAAATACTAATGTAAAATAACCATGTTTTGTATTTTTCCAGACGATTTCTTGATGTCACTTATAGTAATCTTTTATGTCAACTTACTCGTACCTTATCATTATTTTCAATGATTGACATGGACTTTTTATCAGTGAAAAAAGTGTTATTTATTTAGCACGTTGATTATTAATGTCAAAACAACAACATGAAATTATATTTTTTTTTCTTCAGCATTCTAATCTTTCCAAGAATGAAAAGAGAATCAATAGTGTGCTGTAGAGAGGAAAATTGTAATGCAGGGAATAGGATCATCTTGAAAACACAAGACATAAGGAGGCACTATAAATTTCTTAAAAGGGAAATGGAACCAAATGTTCTAGTAGATTATCTCGTACAGCACAATATTTTGAACACAGATGAAAATTCCTTCCTTATCGGAATACCTCGAGCAAAGAAATGCGACTTCATTTTACAAAGATTGTTACAGCATCCAAATCATTTGACAGAATTATCAAGAATGATAATATTTTATCCTCAGGAGGAAGGATTTCATTGTTTTCTTTCTCTTCCAAGCATTGAAACCTCGACAAATGAAAATGTAAAGACCACTGATAAAGGTATAATCATTCTTTTTTTGTATATTGCAATTCATCATTACATTCTTTATCTTAATTAATTAACCAGGTAAAAATTTGTCAACCAAAGTCTAACAAAGAATCAAGTTTTATAAAATTTCTCGTTATTTGTTTTGAAGTCGGACACCAGTTTTTGAACAGGAACGTTAGGAAGAACTCTAAGAAATATTTATTGTGCTTTAAAAATATTACCTTTTCTATAAATGAAACTAATACAGTTTTTTCCATTTAAGTTCTAAACTGTAAATGTTTGGACATGATATTGAATGAAAATAGAGATGAACTTCTAGGAGAAGTCATGCACAGGATATCAAGTGAAAGCGATAGCATTGTTGACGATTTCTTGGAAGAAAATCTCCTTTCTATTGAGGATCATCAAGAAATATCGGCTGAGAAAAAGAAATCCAAAGCAGCTATTTTGCTTCTAAATCTTATAGCCAAAAGATTACCAGGATCATATCTTAAATTGCTTTCAATTCTGAAAAAGCATAAAATAAACAATCTTGCAGAGCGTCTTTTGAAAGAGATAGACAGGACTGGCTTGGAGAAAACAGGTGACAAAATATTCTGCAGTAACTGTTGTCATTATGGGGAAAAAAGCGAAAGAATGTTTGATATAGGTTTTGATACAAGATATTCATGCAAATGACCCTTTCTTTTTTCAGAAAATGAAGAAGAATTGAAAGTGGAATTTGTGGGTGGTGACGTGCATTTTTCCATGATAGGTATTTTTTTTTCGAAGTGCACATCTTGTATTCTTAATAGATATTTATTCATTCATATGACCGGTAAAAAGGGGATGCTTAAGGAGGACCCTGAGCTGGAACAAAATACTTTCAATGAATTTCATTCAAATGTTTTATATTACTAATTAGGTATATACTTAACATTTAAAAAGGTCCTGTCGTGAGATTTTTTGACTTATTTGAAAGATATTGCCTCACAAATATCGCGCTGTATAATGTTTATATGGAGTTTTAATACTTCATGTTTACGGGTCCAATATGGAGTCCATAATGCGAATTTTTACGCAAAAATAATAAATATGTTAGATGACACTATATACTCAAATATTTCGGAGTATATTTATAGTGTTTAAATTATCTGAAAGCATTTGGGTGGGGTAAATTCAGCATTTTTCAAGGCAGCTCCAACAACAAACACTTCATTTTGGAAAAAAAAAACTGTCAATTAATATTGCTAAATTTACGATTAAATGTCAATCCTTCTGCGTACTAATTAACTGTATAAATATTGCAGGGTAAAGTTTAACCCAATATCGCTCAGGACATCGTTGAATTAGACTTAGACAATTAGACAGAACTAGAATTAGACACGCTTCACGTTTACATTTTCCAAATGCGGGGAATTAATTGTGACGTCACACGAAAACATAAAAACACAAAATTGTCTAAATAGAGAGGAGAATCTCTGTAACCATACACGAAAAATATAGTTAAAATATATGCTTTAGAAATTATCACGATAAATTGACTGTGGCGTGTTCATTATGAAATAAAACTGATCATGACGGGTTTAGCTACTATGTATTTGATCTCACTGCACTGAGAATTCAAATACTACGTCTTTGATTTCACTGACGTCAGATTGCAGGGTAAAGAAAGCGGATGTGTGGATTTGGCAATTTCAAAATATCTAAATGTTGGCAAGATCTTGAAATATTTAAAATATTTTTTTTAAACACATTTTAACAAAACATTGAAGAATAAAATTACACATGAACAGTTTATTTTAACAAAGAAGTACAGTACATCAGCACCGACTATGACGTGATCTGTCTTTTTGAGTCCTGTGACATGTGTTCTGCCTCCCTTAAATTACTTCTTCTACGCATCTGATCTTACTTTGGGGATTTTCTTGGGTTTCTGTTTTATGCCCGCTTCACATGTTTGTATTGTTTATATATATTTTTTTATAAGATCGACACTTTCGAATGGACTGTTGAGCTTGAATGCTGTTCGTTATCTCCATATACCCCGGTATTCTATTCCTTATATTTCTTCTATCTTTGTTCGTTATCTCCACCTTGTCATATAGTTATTGCATGATTGTATAATAAGGGCCCTTAATCACATATTTTAAAAAATATTTTTGGAAATCCCATTCATTCAGGTAGTGACAGGAGAGCTAGTTAGTGCCTAATTTGGTCCTGTTAATTTATGAAAAATCAAAACCGCTCAGTTTCTCTTGACATCCATTAAAGCATACTTTGATCTAAAGTGTACAAACAAATCATGAAAGAATCATGTCCTATTAATAAGTGATCAGTATGCACTGAGCCAGCTAATACCTGAAAAAGTAGATAACAGCATAGTTTGTAAGATTTATCATTTCAATTAACTTCAAGAGGAATTATACCAGGGGTTATTCAGCATATACTCATAGTTCTCTTTCGCTTTAAAACCAGATGTCAAAAAATTGTTTTTAAAAAATAATATCCAGGAAGAAAAATGATGTAACAAGAAACCAACTAAATTTTTACTAATGTTTGAATTGACATAGCATTAATAAACACCATTCCTTTTTTAGCTCCTCAAATGGAAATACAGAAAATAAAAATGATAATCTCTGGTGTTGATGGAAATGAAAGAGTTCTTGAGAAAGTGATAAAAGAAATCCCAAACTCGGAAGAATTGTTTGCTCAAGGAACACACTTTACTTTTGATAAAACATCTTTAGGATCTATTATAATTGTTCTTCAAACGGAGTCACCTTACGCCATTGCAAAGTTAAAACAATTCATAGAAAAAGAGGGTATCTGCAGATTTTTAGCACACCTATTCGAATCTAGAGATGTTCGAACACTTTTGACAAAAGAAAAGTACAACATTGAAGTTCAGATCAGAGAAGCACACGAACGAACAGGTATTTAAAAGGAAATTTTAAGGACATTTTTTAAAAGTCATTTTACCCACTTGAGTAATTGAGTTACATACAATATTGGGTGTGACTTGAAAAAAAAATCATCCAGGAATATTTGTTTTGTATTACAGATCCACCTTCTGATATTCTGAAATCAGCTGATGGTCCAATACCTGAGATTACACATAGGTCCCTTTTGGAGAGATGTTACAGCTTCCTTCTAGAGGAACTTGAGCCGCAATGTTTACTAAAAGAACAAGAAGTTGCTGATATTTTTGGTTCAGTTATTGAAATGTTCTACCAGCCGGGTTTGAGAACAATGAAAGCTGAAGCCTTCTTGAAATATTTGAAAGATCAATCCGATGAGAAAATTGGAGTTGTTCTAGAAAAACTGAAGGAGAAAAATAAACATATTTATGACCAACTTGTTCCAGATACATCGAAATATCGGGATATTGGTAACACTATCTAATAACATCTAATTTATCTTAATAAAACACAATATGAATAAAAGAATGCAGTACTTGCTCTTTCGACACTTATTGCTTTATTACGTGTTTAATCAACAGTTTGAAGCTTTTTTTAATATCAAGTCACTAAAACCTATGTTGATCTAAATTTTAAATCATACACAATATTTCAAAAGTAGAAAAAAGTGAAATCTCTTTCTTTCTTTCTCTGTGTTTAGGGAGGGGGAGGTGCGGGTTAAGTGTGTGAGTAAGAGTGTGTTGAAACTAATGTGTTTCAATTTTCAGACATTGAACAAGTCAAAGGAAATATTTTGGACAATTTACCGGAGCTACTGGATATAGTGAGCATTCGCTCAATTCAAACCCCTTTTTTGAGTACTGGGATGATATCTTCAGATGAACTGGAATTAATACATAGGAGCAATGAGTGTTGTAGAAAAGAAACTTTGCAGTTTGTAAAATTGATTTTACATAAAGGAGCAGAAGCCATTAAACTTTTCCTCTCAGCTTTGGACGCTTCATGTGGTAAAAGTACAGTTCAAAATCTTCTCCAGCCAAGGGATGTCCAAACAACAAGTTCCTGTAAGTTAAACAAATATTTTAAAATTTGAGCCACATGTAAATTTAAAATGATGCAGAACCCTGACATTTAATTTATGCGATATGTTTATCTATCCTTGCTGTGCAACCATGATTGAATGATTGATTGATTGTATATTGTTTAACGTCCCTCTCGAGAATTTTTCACTCATATGGAGACGTCACCGTATGCCGGTGAAGGGCTTCAAATTTTGACCTTTACTCGGCACTCAGGGCCATTGAGCAGTGAGGGGTCTTTATCGTGCCAACGCCTGCCGCTGACACGGGGCCTCGGTTTTTAAGGTCTCATCCGAAGGACCCGCAACTTTCACTTCAAAGTGCCGAGCGCATGGCGAAGGAACAGTTGCTACCCATTTTAACGACTAGGTCAGTCGCGGCCGAGATGCGAACGCACGACATCCCGATCACGGAGCGAACGCTCTACCGACTGAGCTACCGTGAACGGTCATGATTGAATGATATTTTCCTTTTAAATTGATTATTTAGTCATTGAAACATATGCATCTACATTAAAATTTACTATATCAATTCCCTTGAACACCCATAGTTTAAAAAAATCAAAATATCAAAAAACTTTCAGATAAGGAAAGGCATACGAAGATTGGTTACACTGCCTTCAATGAAGAAACCGGATTGCTGTTTGAAGGAAAATTTGTAATAGAGCTCAAGGGAAATGGTATGTTAAAACACACATCTGGTGCTTATCATATAAATATAATGAACAGTACTCGTAATTAAGATAAAAGTCCATTGAAAAAACAAAAACAGTTGAGGTAAAACAAACTGTCAGGTAAAAAGTTATATCGTCTTTTTCTTTATTACTCATTATCATGACTGTTTTTAAGGACAATTATCTCTACACCTACAAATCTCAATTATTCTCATAATTCTCATCCTAATAATAAAATTCTTTTAAACCACAAATCAGTCTTTAATACTTAACATGCATTCTCTGTAAGCACCAAAAAATCTTGGAAACGACATATCTCCGATTTTGATGAAATTTGCACCACAGGTGCACCTTGGTACAAAACCAGCAAATATGGTGTTAGAAGTTTCCTACGTGCACCCGGTTGCCATGGAGACGGATCCATTGAATTTGGCCATTTTCGGCCATTTTTGACCGAACAAAAACATGAAAATTGAGGAAATATGAATGCATTTTTATCTTTTTGTAGTGAACTCAAATATAAATCTTTGTATCATAAGAAAACATCAACTGTTAAAGAATACAGGGCATATAACCAGTTATTCCAGAATTGACCCCACTCTTTGAAAATGGTTCTGCAAAGTAGCATAGTTTCTCAAAATGTGAAAAATGGAAAATTTGGCATTTTTTGAGAAATTTAAGGTTAAATAAAAAAAATTGTCTACAGAAATTTTTCAAATCATATGCGTGTCGTCAAACGTCAGTATGAGTAGTGTCCCCTCATGAAAAAAAATGGAGTGGGATCTCAATGCTATTTTTAGTAACATGTATCTAAAAATAGACATATTTCAGAAAAATCCAAAAAATGAAATTTCGGCAGAGTTTAAGATGCCATTGCTAGGTAATTATGAAATATACTGTAAAAGTCAATATGCTAATGTCAGAGACTGGACACCAATAACTACCATGCATATTATTTTCAGGGATTTCCGTTTTCTATTTATAGCTTCAAATGCCTAAATATAGACATGTCTCATAAAATGATGAAAAATGTCAATTTTCCATCATTTTGAAGCTCCACAGAATCATAAATAATAAAAATATGGATCTCTCCAATATTTCATCAATAAGAACAAGGAATAGTATAATATCTCACAAATTATTGAGGACAGGCTCCCATCTCTATAAATAGTACAAATGTCTAAAAATAGACACATATGAAATTAACTGTTTAATGTTGATTTTCCACCAATTCTCAAATTAGAGATGGGAAATTTACCGACTTTCTGTGATTAAATGTAACTGATATTATGTGACTGACAAGAACAAAAGAATATTCAATGGAATGCAGCATGATAAGCAGAGGTTTCCATTTCTATTTATAGTAACACATGTTTAAGAATAGACGTAATGCGAAATATCGGGAAAATGTCGGTTTTTTGTACTTTTTTTCTAAAATTTTGGATGAATAATTGCTGACTATCTGTTTTTAACTGCTATTGGCATATAGTGACCAACAAGTAAAAGAAAGTCTTATATCAATTACAAAATGAGAAGCAGTAGTTTCCATTTCTATTTATAGTAACACATGTTTAAAAATAGACGAATTGCAAAATATCGGAAAAATGTCGTTTTTTGTAATTTTTCCTTACATTTTGGATGAATAATTGCTGACTATCTGTTTTTAACTGCAATTGGCATATAGTGACCAACAAGTAAAAGAAAGCATTATATCAAAAACAGAATGAGAAGCAGAGGTTTCCATTTCTATTTATAATAACATGTGTTCAGAAATAGACGTACTGTAAATTATCGGAAAAATGTCATTTTTGTATTTTTTTTCTAAAATTTTGGATGCATAATTGCTGGCTATCTGTTTTTAACTGCTTTTGGCATATGGCGACCAACAAGTAAAAGAAAGCATTATATCAAAAACAGAATGAGAGGCAGAGGTTTCCATTTCTATTTATAGTAACATGAGTTTAAAAATAGACATACTGTAAATTATCGGGAAAATGTTTTTTTTTTCTACTTTTTTCTCACATTTTGGATGAGCAATTGCAGACAATATGTTATTTACTGCTATTGGCATTCAGTGACCAACAAGTAAAAGAAAGCATATATGAAATACAGAATAAGAAGCAGAGGTTTCTGTTTCTATTTATAGTAACACGTTTGAAAATAGACATGCTGCAAATTCTCGAGAAAATGTAGACTTTCGCACTTTTTTCCTAACATCAGGGATGGTCAAAGTGCAGACAAACGGCTTTTATTTGTTATTGACAGAATATGACTAAAGAGTATGAAAAAGCTTTAGCTAAAGTGTATAAGAATAATGTTTAAGAGTATTTTTACATTCCTGCCTATAATAACACATATTTATAAATAATCAGGAAAATAAAGAATCGTTCGTTTTCCTCAAATTAGGGATATGAAATTTGCAGCAAAACTTTCATTAGCTGTAACTGACATGGCTAATTGTATTTGGCGCGCCAACGCGTCCACCTCATTCCAATACATGTATCACAAAAGTATGTTTTCCCTGCATTACAACACTCAAATGACAGCGATTTTCTTAATGAATTAATCGTTTATATTCAGGTCGACAGCCGGAGCCCGATTGAATTTTTTTTGTTAGGTGCATCTAGAAAATTTCCCTAGGAGGTAGTGGTTCAAATCACTATGTCAGTTTAAACTAGAACTGTCTAAACGGGACTAAATACCCCCGCTGGGTTTTTCAGAGGTGTTAAATCATGAATATTTAATGGATCTAAGAGAAAAGTGAAATGCTACAACATTTTTAATGCAAATGTAATTTCTCATAATATTTTCATAAATGAAACGAAGGCTCATCCTTATAAAAAAAAAAGACTAATTATACGGACCAGACACGAATTATGGACTTTTTCTGTCAGTGACCTTGGCCTTGCATTAATGACCTTGGATCAAAGTCATGACAGAAAATCAGATAATAAGCAAGGTTTGTGTGAAGTAGTAGATTGAGGTTTAGCCATAAAAAAAGATATGGACCAGACACAAATAATAAAATTTTTTCTTCAAGTGGCTTTAAACTTCCCCAAATGATTTTGCGTCAAGATCATGACACACTCTTAGGTCATGAGCAACCTTTGTGTGAAATAAGAACCTACCAAGTTCATCCATAAGAAAGATATGGAGCGGACACAAATTATGAAATTTTTCTTCAATGACCTTGAACTTCCCAAAATGACCTTGGTTCAAGGTCATGACATAACCTTCAGTCATGGGCAGTCTTTGTGTGAGATGAGAACATACCAAGTTTATCCATAAGAAAGATCTGGACTGGACACAAATTATGAAATTTTTTGAGTGACCTTGAACTTCCCTAAAGAACCTTGGCTCAAGGTCATGACACAATCTTAGGTCATGGGCAATATTCGTGTGAAATAAGAACATATCAAGTTAATCCATAAAAAAGATATCGACCGGACACACATTATGAAATATTTCTTCCAGTGACCTTGAACTTCCACAAATATCCTTGGCCCAAGGTCATGACACACTCTTATTGCATGGGCAGTCTTTGTGTGAAATGAAAACCTACCAAGTTTATCCATAAGAAAGATATGGACTGGACACGAATTATGAAACTTTTTTCAGTGACCTTGAACTTCCCTAAATGACCTTGGGCCAAGGTTATGAAACAATCTTAGGTCATGAGAAATCTTTGTGTGAAATAAGAACATGCCAAGTTTATCCGTAAGAAAGATGTGGACCGGACACGAATTAAATTTTTTAGTGACTTTGAACTTCCCCAAATGACCTTGGGTCAAGGTCGTGACACACCCTAAGGTCATGAGCAATCTTTGTGTGGAGTAGTAGATTCTAATGTTCCTCATTTAGGAAGATATGGACCGGACACTTTTGCACAGACAGATGGACAGATGGACAGACGGACAAGCTGATTCCTATATATCCCCAAACTTCGTTTTTTTTTTTGGGGGGGGGTGAAATAATAAAGTTGAATATTTCAGGGATCCAGATCCCCTTTGATCCATGCATGCCTTACCTGAATTTCTTCGAAAGTAATCCGAAATTTGCCCAAATGTTTTG